TTTTCACTACTTCAAAAACAAACATAGAAACAAAGATAGAATTCAGATACCACTTTAGGGCCAGAAATAATCAAGATAAACTAAAATACTTAAAATTACATGCTTTGAAGAAAAAAAATACAAATACAAATAAATCTAAAACAAAAGGATAAGATAAAAATTTCATTTAACCTAAATTTTCACTTCCACCCTAACATTTCTTTACTTCTATAGAACTGTAAACAAAACTCATTAATCTGATAATCGTTGGACCCAAAGAAACTGCTAGCCAGCATTAAGAGAACACATCTTTTATGACCACTTGATATACAGTGGATGTTACAACATACAATCTGTTGAACAGATGATTTCCACTGTGCCCTTACTACCCTGAACTACATTCTCAGTCTGGTCCAGCTCAGTAATATAAGAAATACTACTCTTCCTGGGCAAAAGACATGTCTCTTTGAAATAAATGATTAAGAAACTTGTCCATTATTTTAAGAGAAAGTGTCTTTAATGTTTTTAAGTTACAAAACCATAATTTCAGCTTAAATTCTTACAATACTAAGTCCAGACAAGGAATCTAGGCTACTACGGAAAAAGTAACATACACATGGCATTGCTATAAAGTAAAACCACTGAAGAACTTGTCTCATTTTATTAATCATATTTTATAAACTCTTCTGACTGAAATCTCTGTGCATCATTTCACTTAAAATATTTACTTAAAAATTTAAGTATTTTTCTTATTCAGTCAAAATGTATGGTTAGAAAGAAATAAGCTTATTGCTAGAATTATAACAGATCTTTCCCAAAATTTTTAATGAGGTTGCAACAATTAATTCTATTCCTAGTAAATTTAACTTAAAATTACAGTATCAAAAATCATACTAAAATATTTAATAATTTAAGGATAAAGTACTGTAAATTCACAAAAACAAATTTAACCTTCAAATCACTAGGAACATGAGAGAAAAAAAATGTAGAACCCTCTGGAGGAGAGAAATCTGATCTTTGGCAGCCTGCTGACACTAAAGAGAATGGCTGAAATTTTCTAATAACTTAATAACTGCAAGAAAGATAAATGAAAACAAGATAACATGTAATAACAATATATGTAGAAGTAATTTTTGGGCCAGGCCTATTACATATTCACTCCCTATTTATCCTAATATCCAAAGTTTACTCTTAAATCATTTCTTGAAGTAGTAAACATTAATACTTATGGGACATTGGCTAAATTGATAAAAATAAAACCCCCACCAGTCATACTCTTCTTTTAACTTAGACCTTAAATTTCTCTTAAATTTTATTACTTCTAATTTTCAATGGACTGCTACGAAATTAAAAATAAAATAGAAATAAACAAATCCCAAATTAATCATGTGATCAAGTGATTTTGCAAATCTTTCTACACATTTTAATGCTACATTAGACTTAGTTCACAAAAATTTATTCTGCAGTTACAAAGTGTTTCAAATGTTGTATAAAACCTGATCCAAAAAATTAATACATTTGAAAATACATAACAAAACAGCAGATATGCTCAAAATATGTTGTAATCCAACTTTTAACACACTTAAGATGGCCAGCTTATCTTATTACCAAGTGTTTGGTGCAGGCCTTCATAATTCTCTTCCAGTTACTATTTTAATAACAGAAACCTAAAGTTACAAAGTGACTTGTTTGAAAAAAAACAGGTTGCAGATACAAAACTTGCAACTCCAACTATGTAAAACTATTTTCTTCCTGGTAAACAAACAAAACAAAAAATAAAAATAAACCATAGTTGTTAACCCAGAGCCCCACAGTTCAAAATTATGAATTTATCCAACAGCAACTCTTCTGACAACTTTATAGGTCTTACATATTGAAGCTGTCCGTAAGAATGTTTACATTTGAACAGCTTAAAAATCTTGTTCAATTCTATGCTTTGACAGAAACAGAGGAAAATTAACCAACTGAAATCAAAAAATGGAAAATGCATGGAGTCAAAACAATCTGTGTACTTGCTTCCAAACTTCCAAAATGCCCCACATAAAATACCATTAGAGACTCCAATGGGAGAAAACACTTGGGTTTGGACTCATCTTGCATTGTCCAAAAAAAAACAAAACAAAACACACACACACAAGTTAAGTATGAAATAGATGAATAATATTGTTAAATGGGGGCACAGACAGATATGAATGCTTAGGAAGAATAAAAATGTAAAATTTCTTAATTAAACCACACCTTTTGAAAAGGAGCTCCAGCACTCAGACCTGTTCTGCCCATCACAGTAATACCATGGCACTGATTACAGGTAAAGATTCACTTCATCACAAATGCATTAAGTTTAGGCAGTTTTGTACCTCAAACAAGGGCAATATACAATAAACAGTTTTAAGAATATGAACATTGTTGTACAAAGATGGCATGTCAAGGGTCCACACCCACACAAAGTATGTACCACTCATATGTCAGCATCTGTGTGAAATCTGAGTGATCCAGGGTTGTCTCTCACATGAGGAAGCGAAGTCCAACCCACTGGATTACATAAAAGTAGAACATGGAAAAGCAGTAACCACTCTGTACCCTTCCCTGAACTGTTTAAAAGGCAGGCAGGAGGAACATATACTCTTAAAGATGCATTGAAGAAAGTGCCATAAATATATGAAGTATTTTTAAATGTCAAAATACTTCGTAAGTACATCTAAAAGCACCTAATCACATAAGTGCACAATAAAGTTAAGTATAATCAAGCTCAATTAACAACTGTCAGGTTATTTTCATCTTACTGTCTGGCAAATTAAAGCACCATTAGCTGATGTTTTTAATTTTTAATTCTGAGCTGAATCATTAAGTAAAACAAGAACCGTATCAACCAAACACTTGGGAAGTTAGGGGGGCCAAAGCTCTGCACAGCTGAAAAGCCATGTATAACTTATTATAGTTGGTCCTTCCTTGTACTGGGTTCCTCTGTATCCGTAGATCCAACCGCCTGCATATCATGTAATGGTGTATTTACTACTGAAAAAATTCAGGTACAAGTGGACCTGCACAGTTCAAACCCATGTTGTTCAAGGGTCAACTGTATTTGAAAGAACCATGGCTTTCATTAGTCTACATGCCTTGAGGTTACAGGAAAGTCCTGACTATATGTTCTTATGTCCTCCTCCCCAAACTAAACATAACCAATTATCAACCTTCTCCCATCAACATCACAATTAATAACAAAGGAAAAAACTTGAGAAAGGTAAATCTTGTGTGAAAAGAAGTGGTGATAAAATAGACAGTGCCCCTCTAGTTGAAAGAGCTAATCCTTGCTCCAATCTATCTGAATGATCCAACGCCTGAAAAGAGCTTTCAAATCATTACAAAAGTTGTATTTATTCAAGTTAATTTAGGAAACAATTACAAACTCTAAATTGTACACAGACACATTGAAAAGAGAGAATATACTATTTCTGATTCATATAAACCCTGTTAGTTTTAAGGCAGTTTAATTTTTACTGGTAACTATAGTGCCATTATTTTTTTTTAAAGGTACCCAGTAAGATTCAAATATTTTATATTTGTTTACCCTCTGGAAAAGAACATAGGTGAAGAAGAGTCTAACTTTCAATTTTTTTTCACGGTTTCACTTTCTAAATTTGTATAACAAGCATATTACATACTTTAAAACAGGACAGCACAGTTGCTCAACTCAGGCCTGTTTCAAACTGCTTAAGTTCAAATCCTTGCTTTACCAAATACTACTACCTGGGTCTCTGCCCATGCATCTGTTTCGTCTTCTACAAATTAGGAAATAAAACACCGGGTTTCGGTGAGGATTAAATTACTTAATGCATGTTAAAAATTAGCTTAGACATGTTGATAATCACAGAATGTAAATGATAGTTACACAGATTTAATATACTATTCTCCTTCATAAATGTGGAAGTTTCCATAATTAACTTGTTTACTGTGCTGGTATACAGTAAGGGCTCAATACAGCTTTTTTTTTTTTATTATTACCCTGTAGGGTATTTGCCAACATTAAAGGAAACGACACATGGAAGTGCGTGGCACTTGCCTAAAATGCTGTTTGTCCAATAACCATCCTCCTACCGTCCTTCACCATCAGTAGTCAGCATATATGCATCATCAAGTAACTCTGGACTCGTCTGGGACTTATTATTTAAGGATAAGCTACTTAACTCGTCTCACTTCTGACAGAGATCTACAAGTTACAAATATCACTGTCAGTGGGCTCCAAAGATACAATGTGTCCAGAATGCTAGCTTCACTGATATTTTGTAACTAATTTCAATGGATGGAAAATTTGACTCAATGTTTATCTTACTGTCTGGCACAAAACCACCTTAAAACCAACAAAATGCCAGCATTAAACAATAACTCCCAGCTAACACGTTCAATAATAACTCAGGTGAAGGGTCAGCATCACAGAAGATGGGGGCTAAGTAACAAGAGCAGTAGACTGGTGTGATCAGCACACTGGTTTTAAAAAGTACTGGAGGAGCAGATTTCATGCCCCTTCTTAGGCAAGTACATGAAAGAGATCTACCGACTCGAGAACTCCGAGTCAAAATCTGTGTTTTAAGTCAGACACAAGCGTTAAATACGTCTTCCTATGTCCCCAACTCCTTCAATCAATTATGCATTGCAAAGGAAGAAAGTGTTAAAGATGGTCGCACCCAGCGTTAGAAAGGAATGGCTTCCGTTCCCACTCGGGGCCTCTAGGGGGCACCCGCCATATGCCCTCCTTCGCCCACCCCTCCCCGGTAACGTGAGCAGCTGCAGGGCCCGTCGTCTGGTTGCTGAGGCTGGAACTGCAGCAGGAGCGATGTCTGCAGCGGTGCAAACAGCGGCACCCACTCCCAGCTGCCTCACAGCCATCACCGGGCTGCGCCCGGGGGCAGCTGCCACCCCAGGGAGCTCCTCCCGCAAAGCGACGGAGACGCTGGTCCCCGGGCTGAGGCCCTACAACCTGACAACGTCCCCGAAGAGCAGCACATCAGGGGCCAAGGACTCACAATGGGGGTGTTTTCCTCCTCACTTTCTGCCCAAGATGTACCAGGTAGGGCTGAAGACGATTCCTGGTCCTGGGATAAGAGGAAAAATGAAAAATGGATCAAGAACATCTAACCAGGTGGGAGAACCAAGCCCTTTCCACCAAGAGGAGGCAGAGAAGGGAATAAGAGGTCAAGGAGGTTCGGCCCTTCGATTACTGCCCCCCAGGCCGTGACCAACAACCCCCTCCTACGTAAAGTGGAGCAAGACGGCGTGAAATATTTATTTGGGACCAAAACCCACGTGAAAGGCAAAACCTGGAGGGAGGAGGCGGAGGGCAGCAAGCCTTCTCCCGGAGGGAGAGGGGGAAGGGCGAGCGCAGCCTCGACGCCAGAGGGGAATCCTGTTCCCCCGAATCGGCCCACCCAGCGTCGACCCCGCCGCGCCAGGGCCCACTCGGGGTCGAGGGGAGGCTCGCGTCGCCGCCGGGTGGAAACCCCTTGCATATGCCCAGAGCACTTGCCGGGGGCCCGAGACCTGCCCCCCCGCAGTCGGCGACCGGCAGCGTTGCCTCCCCGTCCGCCATTAGAGACCCAGCCAAACAATACG